TGCCTGTTGTTTTGTTCACAGTGTTCAATTAATCCAACTTTTAATCAAGATAGAAAATTTAACTTAATTAAACATAACAGTCAACATAGTGTGCCTAAGCTATCCGATATTAAAACTTTAATTAACACGATATCCTGACCAGAACTTATGCCTCATCCACACTATGCCAGAGGGATTTTAAAAAGGTGTTTCTGTCTGAAAACGTACCAAATGTTTCCCATCCACACTATTCCAAAGAAATTTGAAAACACAACTTATCATTGGTCATTTTGGATTTGTGTTTGAAGAAAACTCGAGCAGGGAAATCACATGATTGTCGTGACATCATTGTTTTTGAAAAGCTCCATTTTCAAAATGTTTTGCACCCACACTAAAATGCAAAGCTGCCGTTTTCAAATTTCACCAGTTTGAAAGGCGTATCAGAAAAGCTATCAAGACAGATTAGACAGTGTGGACAGTAGGCCTAACCCAAGACAAATAAAGCTGTGTTTTCAAATTTCTCAGGCACACTGTCAACAGGGCCTTAATGTTCACGATATTTGTTCCTGTCGCATTTTAACATAATTCCCTCAGTGTCACTTCTGGGACTATGCAGACAGATCAATTACAGCAATATCAACCAACTGATGAGTTCCTTTATTCTCATAACGTCTCTGAGCAGCATCATACTAAGAATGAAAGGAGAAACTACCACAGATCACTCTATGTAACCTACAAGAAAGTTGTGGAAGGATCCCTTGGGGTGTCCTGGTGTATACAGTCTACAGTCTTCTCCATAAGATTGCTCTGGCAGTGGTTTACCTAAATCTTCATCAAGATACTTTAATAACTGCCTTGCATCATCAGTGCTCTGAAAAGAATGGCACAACAAGTATCAACCAAATGGTAAAATGATTAGCTCAAAAAAGACTTCTACCACATCTAAATCTATGGCAGTTCAAGCTTTGATGTCTTCGGAGAGGCTTCTAACACACAATCATTCTCACACTTAAATTAATGTTGTACTGTTTATTATGTTCAAATCCATATTTTCAGTCTGTGGCTATATTACAGGTGCATTACAACGTCAATGAAAGCTTACTGAGCAGGACTTTTATGTGGAGAATTTCACAGAATTTCAATTTGCTTGCAGACTCGCTCTTCGCTGTCCACATATCTGACTCAAAGGTGAGCCTGCTTCCAGGCTAGTTCTCTTCCACTTCCCTAGTTTGAAATTTCAAAAACTTGTCAGAATGATTGTCACCCTTGCATCAGATGATAAAATGGGCCAAGTACTTCTTATTTTAGCCATAAATTTACCAGGTCTTGAATGATATTTGTTAAATATAATAACACAATATTAATAATCAGAGTACATACCTGAAATAACAGAAATATTAAAGCTAGTTCATAAACAACACTTAGGCAAAGAATAAGACGCCAGAAGGCTAAAAATCAAAACAAAGAAAACAAAAAGTCAAAACCATCTATTAAACTATTCTAAGATAATTTTACTAATAGCTTGAAATGGCTGACCGTGTATGAAATCGCCCTATAATGCATTGCAA